TGCCACAGCTCTAGATTCTGCCTTTTAAAGAAAGATACTCATGATTGATGTCACACAAGAAAATGACTTAAAGTTTTCCCTCCAATTGACGCCATTGTCGGTTTCTCATATGTAAAACCTCTCACAATTATATGATAATTTACATACCTAGAATGGGGAGTCTTTACGCACATAATTATGTAATAGAGCGATACTGAAAGCTTTTATTAATTTTGTTATTTATCATTGTCTTTGACTCTGCTACTAGCTAAAATGTAATTTCCAACTCGGAATTTATTGTGCGATTTGTGATGTTACTGAATTTAATTTAAATGCTGTTTAAATAATGCTAATTTTTGCCTTATTTCTCCTTTAAAAATCGTTAATGCAGAATTTCGGATCGCCGTGCTGCAATTTCTGGTCGTCAGTTGTTCGGGAAATTAAGATTCTGAATTCCTAGTATTCTCCATGTTTATGATCAGTCTTATCCGTAGAACAGTGACCTGGAAGTTACTTATCATAACATAAAAAAATCGAAGGCTGAATTTGACTTATTTTTTTTAGTAGCTAATTTAGTGCTTGAAAAGAAAGATCATTGCAAAGGTCGAGGAAATTTACATCACCCCCTTTGGAACAGCGAGCACAAAGGTCATCCGTGCAACTTTCGCGAAGGCTTGGGAAAATGTCGGAGGTCATCTTTGGGTCCAAGAAGTTTTAGTGTTCCATGGCATGCAGAAGGGTTAAGATGATTGGTCATTGATTCAACTTTGGTTTAATACACTTAAAAAGTCTGGCATTGAAGGAGAAATTACTGATTATTAGTTTTATGATTGAATTACGTTACAGATTAGAACATTATTTTGGCAAATTGTTTTTTGTAAGTGTACACATAATCTTAATGCAGTATTTATGAGAACACCAAAAACGTCATAACTCTTATCATGCTCGCTTCATTGTTCTTAATTTATTCGGTTGCAAATTGTTTGAATTCGTGGGATGCAGTAAAATTTTTTATACATTTTTCGTACAGTACGCACAGCACATAGATAGACGAGCCAGTCATCTTCTGGCCTTTCAATCCTCCAATTTTGGAACTGACCAGCACCAATTCTGGTTTTTTGTACTGCCGCACTGCGTGTACTGTATGAAAACGTTTATTCAAAATTTAATCTCTTTCAGTTGTGCGCACAACTCATTGGAATTTTAGTTTCTTCCTATTGGGAGGGGGACTGAGTATATTCGCAGGTCATTTTAGAATCTCTGCAGAAAACCAGTCCATACTATCAACAGTAATTTCGAAGAAAGCATTTGATCTTTATATCATATAAGCCTGCACCGCCGCATTAGAAACATGTACAGCTGCTTGAAGATCTTTATTATTCGAACTCAACCGTGACATTAAGTAATGTAACTGTTGAGTGAGTAATTATTAAGTAGTGCAGCTGTAAAGAGACTGGCTTTGCTCTAGAGGAAGGGACAGCAGGATCGTGTTCACGTACATTTTCATTATAATTATTCCCGATTTTATCATATGTAGAAAGCTGTCGAGGTATGAAATAAAACGTTTACGTTTGGTAAAGCATTTATTCCTGTTTGAATAATAGTCATAACGGTAGAGGAGCGTTTGCATTAAGGGAGAAATTTCTTCTACGGCGCAGTAACCGGCGGTGCCTGATAACCGGATTGAGAAAAGCTCAAAATACAGCGGATGTCAGATGCAAAACACGTTCTGCTTATGTCAACGGCTAAAGGGAGAATCACAACAAACACAGGCATAGCTGAAGGCTGGAGGAAGCGGGTCGCCTGTTGGCCTCATATT